ATGGCCCTACACTTCATCCTGCAGCATCTGGACTCCCCAGGAACCTACGCCAGGATCCTGTTTGTGGACTTCAGCTCTGCCTTCAACACCATCCTTCCAGACCATCTCCGAGGCAAGCTTTCCCAGATGAATGTGCCTGATCCCATCTGCCGGTGGATCACTGACTTCCTGACGGACAGGAAGCAGCACGTGAGGCTGGGAAAGAATGTCTCGGACTCCCGGACCATCAGCACCGGCTCCCCTCAGGACTGTGTTCTTTCTCCTCTGCTCTTCTCCCTGTACACCAACTGCTGCACCTCCACCCACCAGTCTGTCAAGCTAATCAAGTTCGCAGATGACACCACCGTCATTGGGCTCATCTCGGACGGGGACGAGTCTGCCTACAGGAGGGAGGTTGAACGTCTGGTGTCTTGGTGCAGCCACAACAACCTGGTGCTGAATGCCCAGAAGACAGTGGAGATTATTGTGGACTTCAGGAAGCACACAGCCCCACTCCCCCCCATCATCCTGACTGACACCCCCATCACCTCTGTGGACTCATTCCGCTTCCTGGGTACCACCATCACCCAGGACCTGAAGTGGGAGCCCACCATCACCTCCGTCATCAAGAAAGCCCAGCAGAGGATGTACTTCCTTAGGCAGCTGAAGAAATTCAACCTGCCAACACGGACGATGATGCAATTCTACACTGCAATCATCGAGTCCATCCTCACCTCCTCCATCACCGTGTGGTACGCTGGAGCCACTATCAGGGACAAACAGAGACTGCAGCGTGTTGTGCGCTCTGCTGAGAAGGTGATTGGCTGCAGACTCCCATCTCTGCAGGACCTGTACACCTCCAGGACACTGCGGCGTGCAGCCCGGATCTCAGCTGACCCTTCTCACCCTGGACACAGTCTGTTTGACCTGCTCCCCTCAGGCAGGAGGCTCCGGTCCATTCGCACCAGAACCTCTCGCCACAAGAACAGTTTCTTCCCCTCTGCTGTTGGACACATGAACAATAACCACATGATTGTCCCCGCCACTAACACATGACCCTACGCTGTGTCACTGCATCATTTCATGTTTGGCACTGATCACCACCTGCACTCATGTATATATCTTTCTACGTAGCACTCATAATTCTTATTCTCATGTATATATCTCATGTATATCTCATGCACATATCTTTCTTTCTACATAGCACTTTAATTCTTATTGTCTGCACTGAAGCACCGCAGCAATTTCCTAATGTTGTAAACCTCAACATCTGGCAATAAACCCATTCTGATTCTGATTCTGCAAAAAGCAATTTGCTGAATTCCAGTCCTACTGGGGTCCTACTGCCCAGGGTGTCACATGCAAAAAGTGACTTAAAAACACAGATCATGACTGCAAAGAGACACAAAGATGATACATAAAGGGGTTAAACTGTCACAAGAGGAAACAGGATGACTCGCCTAAGGTGCATCATAACTGTAAAGAGATGTAAAACAACTACAGAGACCCAAAAAACATGCAAAACAACCACAAAGAGAGAGATCACAATGCAAAGGGACAACAAAATGATGCGAAGAAGAAATGCAGAACAGCAGCCAGTTTTTCCTGGTTCAGAATTGGAATTTGTGGATTGACTATTCACATAAGCATGACATGTCCGTGCACAGTGAAGGCAGTGAGACTTTGTTACCTCGCTGGACAGAAATCTGTGCAATTCTACTTCATTTCAGGATATTTGATGAAGAAAAATGGCTATGATGGTCACTGAATGAAACCAAATTTAACATTAGGAGCATACAAAATAAGGCCTAGCTCCCTGTTTACTGTGCACAGTTATTAAACAATCTTACAAGTCTGTTTTATTTGAGGAATTCACAGTCAAGACAGCGCTTTGATCGGCATCCTCCCCCCCGAAGGAACACATACGAACGTATACACAGAGAGAATATTGTGAGAGAGAAAAACAGAGGAATCAAACCCAGATTATTCAGAAGTATTCTTTGATCTCATCTGAATGAATAATAAGGTGATGATTCTTGTTTTTGGTTTTTTTAGAAACAGCACGGACATGGAAGCCTGTTGAAGTTGGAGAAAAGTGTGTTGAAAACACTGCAGATTAACTTAAGACTGTTTAAATGATTGCACAATATATCTTTCCTCCCAACATGTGGTTTCGGTTTTCTGTGTAGATTTCACCAGTGGATCAAAAATCTGTCATTCCCCAAATGTTGACTGGAGATTTATTACACATGCACAAGTGTTGTTGGAAACTAAACCAAACAATACTTGAAGCATTTGAATATTCTGATAATGAATGACTTTCAGAAAGAGATCAGATTTGCACTGTCTCATTCAAACTTGCAAATCAAAACCCAGTTCCACATAAATGTACCAGAAAACACAAGAGACGCGGCCCATTATTCTGGTTATTTGTTATTTAGAAAGGAGGCTGCGTGAGAGCTGAAAAATGAGCAACTCTGAAATAATGGGTGTCTCCCAGGGCTCAGTCATGGGGCCACAACTTTTGAATCTGTTTATAAATGATTTTCCTACTGATGGGAGAGAGGCTACTCGATTTAAAAAATCAAAACAAAACAAAAAACAGCTCCTATTTGAAAGACCAATTTCATAGTTTTTATTTTTAAAAAGGGAGAATTTTTAAGTTCTTAGGCATAATCTAAGATCTTAAATTTAAGCCTCTCTTTTATCACTGCAGGCGTGAACCCATTGCAAGGTCTTTGGAACAGGAAATTATGATTATAACAATATGAATTTCACAGTAGTCATTCTTGCAACCACAGTATTTTCTTGTCTCCTGTGTTGTTGAAAAGTCATCGCTCTCAGCACTCGTAGGTGTAAGAGACTTTTAATAGTTCTGTGTAGTTGCAATATCTTGTTTTTACTGTACATTGTATCAACTTTTAAATATTTAATTAGTTTTACTTTTTATACAGTTTACATTATCTAGCTTTCACATTGATATATTAGGTGAGCATCTATAAAAAAACATTTTCCCCCGGGCACTTCTAAAGTATTCTGATTCTGCGTTGAATCTAAAACGCTGGTACATCGTAGCTGCAAACCCTTTTGAAACCCGACATTACACATCAGCACTGACGCAGCTGCACAGGTATAAATACTGAAAATGGAGATGGTCACTTTCTTAGGCTCTACAAAGAGTCAATGCAGAGGTTTAATTAAGTGTACACAGATACACATAGTTTAAGTAGATGTCAGTGACAACTTTAACCTTATGACATCAGAATGTCATTTTTGTTTTCATTAAACTCTGCTCCTGTATGTAGGCACTCGTGAAACAAAGATACACATCAAATATTGCTTACATTTCTTTTTCCAAAGTATAGGGTCAGGATTATGACCTATATATTTAGAGGATTAAACTAAGATGGGCATTGCTCAGGGTTCATCCGTTTGATTGACCTTCTTGGCCTCCGTAAGCCCGACTTCATTCTCGAGTGATGCCCATCAGTAACTAATGTGATCATGCCGTTCAGAAATCGAGTTTTCTGTGTGCTTTTACATTTCCACTCAGGCAGGTTAGTTATTTATGTTTCCCTCGTCCCAATCTTTCATATTGTATGACAGTATGGGCTCAAACATCACCATCTACACACAATCACACACTTCACACCCTCATGCAATCAGACTGTGAAAATAATGGCTAAAAAGCCTGTCTGATGGGATCACTGTCACATCCTGAATAGATGGAGTCTACTTTGAAAGGTTCAGTAATTTTTCTCCCTCAAAGGCAGAAGGTATATCTGGAATATTCCAGATATATCCAGAGGTATTTGGACATTTAAGCTTTCTCTGTAAAAGGCTGTGAACTGTCAAATATTACTGACTGAAATCAAATTAACAGAAAAAAAAATCTTTCCAATGAAGGAGAAGGGCAAACCAGAGGTGTAGCCATTTTTATCTGGTTAGTTTTTATACAAACACAGTACTGTCAGGTAAACATCTCCACCTGTGTGGTATGTGCATTTATGGTAATGAGTTGAAATGATGTCACGACCCTACATCGTACCTGGGTGTTTCTCCTGCACAACAGTTGGTCTGCATGCAGTCAAAATCAATAAATCTCTGTCAGCCTATTAAAGAAATCTATTCATTTTCTTGTTATTTCTGACCATTTGCTTAACAAAATGAGCATTACACCTTAGTAAATGATGTCCAAATTAAGAGGAATCCTGCTGATTTTCCATTTGGCTCTGGCTGAAAAACCTTTTCTGCTGCTGGAATAATCAGTTTTAAACCAAGCCGCATTTTCTCCATCAAAGAAATTAAAAAGATTAAAGCTCCGTCCCAACTATATCATTTGTAGTCGACCGAAACCTGTCAAAAGCCATATTCAAAGACAAATTTGACCTCTTCTATGTTTCTGTGGTGTTGAATTACAACCGTGATGTGTTAGGCAAATAGATGAAAGACTAAATTAAAAAAAGACTGTGTGCCTTTTTAGCTTGATGGGGTTAATTACTGTGAACCCCACAGGATTTTCTTCACAGCAGACATTTCCACTTGTCATGTGGGAAATGCAGAGGTGTAATTAATATAAGAGAAGACTGTCTGAAAGGAGACGGTAGATGAGCAGCGTACACAACAGGATCCATTAGTAATGCTAGATACCTTACAAATGTGCAATTAGCACGAGGAAATGCTAAGCTTTTACTCCAGAAACCTTTCAAAGCATCAAACTGCACATAAGAGTTCCAACTCTTACAAACACAGACACAGTCAAGTTTGTGGGACTAAATTCATTTGCAATGAATGAAGCAGAGGAAAATGCACTAAAAATGATGACATTGTGTAACACGGGAGTAAACAGAGTCAAAAATCAAAACTTTAATGATCATCACTGCCCTCCTCTGAGTTTAAAAAGGCATTACGGCTGAGAAGAACCCAAACTGTCACTTCCATTAATAAAAGGCTGCTAAATTAAGCCACTTTTGGGATTTTCATTTGCAGTCTACTGAAGGACAAACTCACCCACACACAGCTACAGAAGAGTCATTTATTACTCCATTAGAAGAAATACAAAGATGGCAGAGAAACTCTGATCACATTAGTCCTCTGAAAATACAGAAATACCGAATGCTGCTTCTTGCACGAGGAAAATCCCGTCATCGAGATGAATGGTGACTACTGCAGAGTAAAAGGAGAGGGGAGCCACCGATGGAGATAGCTGGCTAGTTTCAATTTCTAGATTCACATTTTAATTTGCTACAACCGGGCTATTGAAAACATGAGACACCAAAGTACTTCTCAAAGCAGGGCCAAAAAGTCCAGCACTTTGAGGTTCAGGGTCTTTATTGTCTTTCTGGACAACCGCACAGATGCTCTTGAGGCTACGTCACAATTCTCCTAGCAACCGTTGCCCATTTCCTCACCGGATGAGCGCTAATAATAGCCACATTCAAGACATAACAATTAGGTTACAGCACTTGTACTGGACACGTCAACAGGTGAATGAGACGATGACATAGTGTAGTCAGCTAATCAGCCTCGTCTTTCATTAAACAGTAAATCAACTCAATACCAATTGTTTCCTTTAGCTCTCTGGCCGTGAACCTGCCTTAGTTGCCCAACTTGAATTTGATAAGCTTAAATTTTAAGTTGCTTGTTGGTGTTCTGTGGACTCTGCTCTCTAGTATTGCTGGTTCTCCTCACTCCACAACTGGTAAATTTATATGACATGTGATTAAGTTAGCAGAGGTTGGGGGGAAAAAAAAACAGAAGCAAAGCATGGTGTACTAGTTGAATTTGCCCTGAGCTCCACCCACCACTGACAACAACAACTAGACAGCCTGTGACAGCTCTGGGCATGACAAGACCCAGAGGTGAAAACGAGCCTATCAATCCTGTCCACTAAGCAAAACCAAATCTCATAAATACTTTTATATTTCCTCCAGAGGATACAGTTTTCACTAATAAAGTAATCCACATTTGATATAAGACACATTCAAGTACTTCCATTTACTTTGAGGAACCGATATTTAATTCAGAAAGCCATGAGAGCTCCACGAGCGGTGCCTCATGATTTTTCAATGTGCTGTGTGTGAGCTGCAGAAGTGCTGAGGGTGTGTGTGCGAGTGTGTTTGTGTGTGAGCTGCAGAAGTGCTGGGTGTGTGTGTGTGTGTGTGTGTGTGTGTGTGTTTGGTAAAGTCCAGTCCTTGGTGCGTTTCTGTCCGGTCTACATTTGGCTGAGGAAATGAGCGCGTCCGTTGTCTTCCAGACGGCGGGTGAGGATCTCGCAGCCGGTTTCCGTCACCAGCAGGGTGTGTTCGAACTGAGCCGAGCGCTTCCCATCTCTGGTCACCGCCGTCCAGCCGTCTGGCCACGTCTCATCTTGCCAGCCACCTGAGACATTACACACACGCACACGATTTCTGACTTTGGCTTACACAAAGTCAATTTAGCAAAGTCGACAAAACAAAGCCTCTGAGCTATGCAATGACTCACTGTTTACCTGTGAGATAGTTAAAGGTTTTAAAGTGTAATGACCCATTTTGGAGCCTGGCTTTACACAATTTTACCCTGTAAGAACCTGTTAATAGTCTCAGCTTTGCTCAGTATATGCTCGACTGTGAAGGTGATTTCTGAAGGCAACTTGGTCATTTTGCTTTAGGATGAGCTGATTAGATAAAACAATTTGGTTTCTTCAAAGGCTTCTGTTCCTAAAAACCAAGCAAAACACCATTTATGGTGTATTATGAGAACTACACTGCAATAAAGCTGCAAACAGAAACAAGAATTCCAATGTTTAACTTGACATAGTATTCTAGTTTTAGTCGCTTGAACTATGTAGTTTGCAAATAGTCTAATTAAGGCAGTTTTCTAACATATTCATTTGATCTATTTCTGTAAAGATTATTATTCATACAAAGGTTACACTCACCTTCACATATCATGGGCTCAATGGTGAACACATGGCCAGGCTTCATAACACCAACTGCTTTGTTTTCTGGGAAATTAAGGAGAACATAAATCATGCACTTTTGAGTAATTAATGCTAACACATTCAGCGCTAACCGTGGGAGTTACTCACTGGCATAGTGCGGCACATTGGGAGCCGTGTGGAAAAGTCTGTGGATGCCGTGGCCGCAGTAGCTGCGCACCACGGAGAAGCCGTTGGCCTGAGCGTGCTTCTGGATGATGTTACCCAGCTCTCTGTAGCGAATGCCAGGCTTCACTGAGGAAGCAAACAACACAGGGCTTAGTTTATTTCCTGAACCACACACACTAATGTAACTATTTGACATGGAAAACGATGTTGTTTCTACGTCAATGTTTCAAAATGTAAAGTATTTTCCTATTTCAGGTTTACAAAGGTAATGTTGAGTTTGCCTTCAGCAGTCAATTGAATATCTTTGACTATTAACTGGACAAAACAAGACCTCTGAAGAGGCTGTGGGAAAAGAGGATCTGCTTTTATTTTTATTGCGCAGACCAGAAAATAAAATGTGATTAACTGATAATCTTCCATAATGCATGATGTTCCTCAGCAGATGGTGCATCCCAGTTGCCCCGCACATGTAGATAATCAGAATTTGCAACATCCTGGCCACTTTAAGGATTGCAGTTCACAAACTGATGGGTCACTGAGGAATGACCCATCAATTTCGACTTGCTCTGAAATGTAAGTGCTCTCTGGTGGCCGAACTCTGCTAATTCTTGTTATTCAATGACCTCAATATATTGATACCAATAATCCCAATAAGCTAATACTGGCTGATTTAGCCAAAGCTGTGTCTTTGATTAAACAAGGGTAGATAACATAACGTCCATCACATCAACACAAAACACCACCATCACTGTAAAATGTTAGAAAGACAGAAAGTGAGCCTACCAGAATCAATGGCTTGCATAAGGCATTCATACGTAGTCTGAACCAGTTTCTTTGCTCCTTCGTCCACCTCTCCAACAAAGAAGGTTTCGTTGAGGTCGCCATGGAAACCATTGTGGTACACAGTGATGTCCACTGCGTGAGCGTGGGAAGACAAATATGTCAGGACCATTGTATCAGATGACAAACTGAATTCTTTTATGTTTAACACAAAGGGAGCAATATTATGAATGACCTGCCAAGAGCAGTTAATAACAGGCGCTAGCAAGTTTTCAGAAAACACGTATCCATTTGCAAGGCAATACAAAATATCCTTTTATTAAAAAATTGCTGATAAAATTGGAAGTGCCAGTTTGCAAACTGGGACTTTTCCCCACTTGAGGAAAAATATAGACAGCAGAGAATCTGACTGGCAAAGCCCCACTGGTAGAGGTTAATGAAACTATTTGTCTTGTTGGGCCACGCAGCGAGAGATGAGTTGTTGGCAAGTACTCCATCAGACGCTCTGAGGGGAGTGGCGGATAGAAGACGTCGCCTTAGCAGAAATATTCATAAAGAGGCTAAAATTGGCCAAACTCCTGCTGATACCATTTCGGGATCTCGGTACAATCATTTGTCATCCCAATTCCCCTTCCCCCCCCTCACCTCAAACATTTACCAGTATACAAACTCAAGCATTCACAGGACTTTGCTAGACATTGGGAATATGAATACATTTTTAAACACTGCAGTATTAAAGTTCCCTGGAGATTAAAGCACATGATGGCAGTAAAGCAGGAACAGATAAGAGAAGACATGTGAGGCAGTGAACGCACCATTGAGGATATCTCCTTCTTGCAGGGGTCTTCTGTCTGGGATGCCATGGCAGATGACTTCGTTAACAGATGTGCAGCAGGATTTGGGAAAATTGTAGTAGTTGAGAGGGGAGGGGTAGCAGTTCCTTGCTAAACAGGCCTGTCGGGACAAAGTGTGTATGTTACAGAGATGGCAGCAGTGCAACAACAGAGTACAAATGTAAATGTATGACAAATATCGAAGATCAATAATCCATTTTAAAGGAGTTCATTTGATATATTTAACAGTTCAAACCTAAGTGCTTACGTTGCTTACATGCCTGGCGCTGACATGTGGATGAACTATAATGAGCCATAATGCGAGTTTGTGTTTAGTGGATCCAAAAATGAGGCATTGTGTCTTGTTTCAAAACAACGCACCAGATGTACGGCGTGGTCAATTTCTTCTGTTGTAACGCCTGGTTTCACCATCACGGCTGCAATGTCCAGAACTTCTCTTGCCAGCTGCAAATAGCACACATGTCAAAATCGCACTGCAATAAAAGGTAAGCTAGAAATGCACGCCTTGAAAGCAGAGAGTCAATACTGATTGCTACCTTGCATACAACTCTCATGCCCTCAATGTCCTCGGGGTAAAGAGTCTTGATCTGTGACGTCCCCTTCAAGAACTGCTCGGACTCAGACATCCCTACGGGACGGAAACAAGGACAGACAACTGGCATCACTCACACGTCAATACTCAGTGAAACTGATGAGCTCATTCAGCCAGGATCTTGCAATAGCAGCTGCTGTCAGTCTATCAATTTCCAGACTGTCACTGCTGGATTTACATTCTCCTGATTGATTTTGTTTTTCCATCACAAGTGACAACTAAATAAATCATCTGTTACTGAGAAGGCATTGTCATTCATACTATAATTTTAACAGTTACACTGCAATTGGTGCAACTGTAACTATTACCCCATGCAAGAATATAGATACTTAAATAAAGGCAATCATGTTAACCCATACTGTCCTATGAGCTTTACCTTCAGTTGTCTCTGACTCCTCGCAGCTTCAACAAGTTACAGTACACAATTAATCCACCTCTAGACCATCAGAAAACAGTGATTTAGTTTCAGTAAAAACCACTGTGTAAGAACAGGGAACATCTGGAAAAATAAATAAAACACTACTCTCTATAGCAGAAGGCAAATCTACTCTCAGAAAGCCATGGCTAAAGTCTAAGCCCAGGGTGCGCTCTCATGAGAAAAGTTTAATCACTACAAACAGGTATTCCTTGTTTTAGGACATGAACGTTGTTTTTGATATGTCAGAGGAATAGAACTACTGATGGTAGCACAGGAGTGCCACCTGGTTTAGTTTTGGTACTTTTAATGTGAAATCCTTGTGATGTTTAATTTTTTACTGCTTGTACAGCAGTATAAATCTGAAAAATAAACTCACCTCAGGTATGACCTCATGTATGATCATGAGGACCGATAGTATATTTAAATCCAGTACAAAACCAAACCATCTTTCTCACAATATCAACAAAAATCACAAGTGTAAAAGTAGAATTGCATCAGATTGCAGTCTGTCTATTAGTTTGCACTGGTGTTCTTAATAAAGAGTCATGAGTGCATATCAAGCTGAACTGTTTTGATATTTTGCCAGCTTCAGCCCTAAACATCTAACAAGCATCTTGTGCTGCTATGAATAACTAGCCACTCCTATAAAGACTACACTACAGCTTCAGCACCTGAGCAGAGGCATGACACTCACACCGTCGGCTCAGAAGAACAAAGCTCGGCAGCTTCTGTTATATGGAGAACAACAAAAGTGCAGGTCTCAGTGCAGCAGGTCAGCTTGGTAACGACCGATCCAACAAGAGCCCAACATTTTAATTGGACTGCAAAATGCATACAAATATCTGTTGGTCAAAGCACCCGTGTCATCAATAATTCGCTGGTCCATAATTTATTAACTCGACCAGATGAATGCTGGATGAACGTGAACAGTTGCCTAGCAACACAGACATGAGACAGATTAGTGTTTGAATCAAATGCTGGTGTCCTTTTGACCTGAAGAGGCCACAGTGTGACAATGGAAATCAATTGGACTTACTAACACTTTGATACACCTGTTCTGAGAAGAAGCGAAGTATGAGAAAAGGACCGTGTGTACATTATGTTTTCAGAATGAAAATCACTGCTGAAAATGCTTGTGTTCAGCCCTGAAGCGGGACCGAGCCTGAACTAATAAGAGGCCTCTATCAGGAATTTTTCGGCCTTTTCCTTTGGAATGTGCAGCTAGTTGATGTGTACCGGCTGATTTGAAGATGCTCACTGTCCACATTTGAGTTATTAAAGAATCCCTATTTACCAGTAATAATTTAAATCCATTGAAACACTGTCCTGAATCAATTGTACTTCACTCCCCGAATTGGCACCACAGGAGAATGAAAGGAGACTGTAACCATGACTACCTGAGTGTGGATCTATGCAGTCAGATGACACGGATGCAGAGGTTGCCATGGCTGCAAAAAAAGAATGACTTGCCCAGAGAAATAAATGTAAAATAAGGCAGGTTAGAGTAATCTCAGCTTGTGATAATTTACATAAAAGAAACAAACTGGTGATAAAAAAACACAGTGTGACAGCAGAGCTGTCAGCAGGTTGACTTTTCCCTGCAATAAATCCAACACCAACGAGGGAGAGAGATCACCGTGAGATATTACAGGGACATTAGAAAGAAGACTATTCAAGTCCGGTTTGAAACACCAGCTTAGAAATAAAAGGCATCAGTACAGATGTGCCTACATGATATTCACTGATTTCAAAGTGCTACATCTCCAAAAGCTGAACTGTGAAATTATATCCATATACTGTATGCAGCAGCTTTAAAACGAGCTGCACTAAGCACAATACTTTGCCCATGTAGATACATTTAAATCCAGATTTACTGATTGATCTTGACAAGATCATAACAAGAAATATCAGGTTCTGGATTTAAAAACAGTCCAGTGAGCGCTGTGGGAGAAGAAACGATTAATCTATCAGTGAATGTTTAAAGGTTTAGTCCACACTTTTTCAGCACCCCTAAGGAGTGACTACTGAGCAACACAGCAAATCATGATGAGCTGCTCCTCTGTTCCACCCCACTCTTAAAATCCTGATGAAGTCAGTATGTTGGAAAGGCTAAACAACACCATCAGCTAAAAATAAGGTTAGAGTCTGGAGATGGACTTTAGGAAATGGTTTAGGAATCAGACTTACACCAACAAGGAAAATCTTTTAAAGAGCAAGGACAGAAGCAATACAGAATGAGAGTATAGCCATTGTATCTCAGGCTGATACTCACTGAGTCAACTCAACTCCACGTGTAACTGCAGGATTACATATTTCTTGTCAGCGAGTAGGGTCTACTTGTGAGTAACATGAATTTCATCATTAGAAGTTGAAAATGATGCACAAATCAAATGGTCTGTGCCCAACCACATCTGTACAATAAGGTTACTAAGTAGCTACAGCATGTAATGTAAAATGTGTTCTGCCCATGATGTAAGAAAAAGAACGTAGAGGCTCATATGTGAATTTATCCTTTGAGTGGACTTGAAAAGACTAGAAACAAGTAAGCAAACATAATCCTGGACAAACAGTGAGCACACATCTAATTCTGCATCTGAATATAAACCATGTGATATTAATTCTAATGCATGAGCTCAATCGTAAACTGGTTGTTGTGGCTGAACGCGGCACAGTTGCCTCACCATATTAAATATGCCCACTTAAGCAAAATTAAAAATGAACAGGTGACAAATATCTCGATAAACTGCTGAATTTCAATTATAGCACAAAACTTGCTGATGTGGCTCTTCATTACCCGCCTGTTCAGACTATCCTCTGTGTGTACAGATCTTTAGCTGACAGCACAAGACGTATCAGCTTATCTGTGCATTCATGCAAAAATGGCAGAACATGCATGCATGGATGAGTGCATTGTTCAGACAGAGACAGAGACGGGCCTTCAACAGGTAGCTCTCAATGCTCATGCATGCGTTACTAAATCTGTGCCATTAGTTTCTAACTCATTTATTGTGGTAATAATGAATGTGGTCTGGACTTTTTCCCCCACTTAGCTGATGTCAACACATACTTACGAAATGACATATTAGTAACTTATTTGCCACTAAAATACCAATGAACCCATCAGTTATGCAGGTCAAAGTCAGGTTAAATATTGTAATATTTTCAATTTATACCAAGACACCACAGCTTATGCTCATCATGTCCCATGCCCCAATTTGAGCTAGGGTTGATTTCTGATTTATCAAAAGTATGAAAGCCCTGAATGAATCCTCTTACTTGTACACAGTACCTCTGATGAACTGCACTTTCCTGCACAGTGTGACATGCCAAAAAGGATTTACAGCTTAAAATGAATAAATAAATAAAAAGATCACTTCTGCTGGAACAGAAAGAGATCGGGTTACCTCTGGGATGATCAGCATAGTCAGGTCTTTGGATGTCACCTGGCACAGGTCTCATGGGAGTCTACAGAAAAGGCCAGAAGAAAGACAGACAGGTTAACTCAGCGTGTCAGTGTTTATATAAGAGAATCCTTGAAGCAAGTAACAAAATGTAGCATTTCCTTTTAGTGTCTGTGTTTGATTTCCATTCATTTGAATAAGGTAAATACCATAAGATGATTCTTATCTTTATGCTTGAGCTTGTACCTGTTTCATGCTGTGTTATAAATCCAATGCACCCCACCACCACCAGCCCTTTTTTTTTTGATGCACCGTTCTGACATTAGTCGGATATTAGTCTGATCCTGATTCAAAAAGCTGGACCGGATATCAGTGTCAACGTACTGATGTATTCAGTTTAATTCTGGCTTTATGTGCATTTACTACACCTCGCATCAGTAGCAGTGGTACCAGGAGACCTAACACATCTCACGGGAAGCTAGCAGCAAAGGATCAGCAGTGTCTAGATTCTCAGATGTCCTAATCCAACAGCTTTTGTCTGTATGTTGGCAATAGTTTTTCACACAAACTGCAGCCAAGTGAGATGACACGACTGAAAAGTTCAGATGATGCTTTTCCTGTTGGCTTCGTTTATTCCCCTGATCTGTTACAATCTGTGAAATACTTGTTGGGATGATTTTATTACATGTAGATAACTCAATGTCATTTCACTTCACCTTTTATGTGTACACCTAGTTTATCTTGTCAGCAAGACAACTTTACACGCAATAACCAATGCAATGACCATCAACTAGGCTTAGTAGTGTACTGAAGCTGGGCTATCCATACCATGCCATGTTTGATCCCCAAAGTCCAGTTTGTTTGGCTAGTGCAGGTTAATGCAGTCCTATATAGTGGACTGTAGCTGTTCTGCCTGCCCGTTCATTTTTCATTACTTACCAGAGGGTAGTGAGGGCGTAGTTTTCCTGTGTAGCGGTACCCTGGCCATGGGTCTGTGTTGATCTCCTTCTCCACACAGTTCTTAGATTCATTTTGGTTCTTCTCTTCCTCTAAAATACAAAAGAATATACAACATACACATAAAACAACTCACAGGGTGTCTGAATCATCTGGCACAAAGTACAGAAAGAAGTTTCACCAACTCGTGACTCTAAAAGGACACGCATATGTAAGGGGTGCCACCTCTCAGCTTTCTGAGCTGCAATTTGATTAACAGAGGAGTCTTAAAAGGAAGCTGTGAATGATTTTGATCTGTGGTAATGGATATGTGCTGCCTTAGGCTACGTCCACACTAGCCCGGATAGATTTGAAAACGGCGTTTTCGTCTGAAAATGCTCTGCGTCCACACTAGTGTTTTCAGTCGTTTTCACAGAGTTGTGCGTTCACATTGAAACGACCGAAATCACTTACATTCCAGTCCTGCGCAAAAGCGAGTGAAAATTAAAGAATTTGAAGAAAAGCTAACAGGAGCATGTACAAACTTATATTAATCTTTTTTAGGTCTGTCAAAATTGAGACCAATCAAAACAACTGCTGTGCAATGCACTCAGCTATCTTTGTTTAATTGGTCACATGACTGCATCACATGACTAAAATGCATCATCATTTTAGGACGTCTGCGTTTATGAGCATCCACACTGCGAGGGGGCAGCTCAGTTTTGAAATGTATGCGTTTTCAAGACGCTGTGTTTTTCCTTGAGGAAAACGCCGTCTCAGTGTGGACGGGAGGCCAAAACGGAGAGAAAACACATTAGTGTGGACGTAGCCTTAGAGTTGGGTCATCTTGCCATGCGGGTGTTTCTTTTGACAGTCACGCTTCAGTGTGGTTACAAGTTTGATGAATGAATTTGCTGAGACTTAGATTTCATGTACGTGGGAAAATTAGCGATGCAGCGGGTATAATCAGCATTTTTTAGTTTTAGGTTTCTTTTGGTTCAGACCTGTTTCAAATTATCGTTATCAAATAGTGGTTTTTATTTTGTGTTGGAATTGTCTGGTTTTTGCAGTCACTAATTTGACCTTGTCCCACTGTCCTTTTTGATTTCCTTGTAGCTTTCATTTTAGTAGTAGCAGTAGTTACTGCATCTTGTAAGGACTAAATAACTTTTTATTTCCATTTTTAGAAAACCTCATTAGTTTGTTTTGTGCCACTTCCTTGTTTCAATCCACAGTATGTAATGTATAGCTCTAAATTCTTAACAGTACTTGTTTGTAGTGTGTGTACCCATGTCTGCACTGACTGCAGTGTTTTCAAAGTTATGGTGTGATCACTTGCAGTGCAGTGATATATTTACACTTTTCGGTTTTCCGGGTTTAGTTGCAGCTAGGATATTACAGGACCATATTTGAATGTAGTTAGTATAGTCTGTTATTATTATAAATGTGTTTCTTTTTGTTAGTCTCATTTTATGATTATAGTGTTACGTCATATAAGCTAAGCATCATGATAGCACAGTGGTAGACAGTGCCCAATTGCACCTACTTGCTTTTTTGTGCAGCAACTTGTGAGATGCCCAGCTTCCTTTAAAACATTCCTGCAAAGAAAAATTATTATCATTACTGTTACAGCACAAATTTTTCAGTGAAGTCCATATCAACAATATGCAACATTCACACGTGATCACAACCATATAACCCAATTATAGTCAGCTACAACTGAAATTTGGGTTACTTTACTTTGAGAAATAGCAGAAAAAGGATGGCCTGCTGCCATCGGTAAAGGTCATCTTATTCGCTGATTTGCAAACAGAAACCATCAAGGCCTATAAATCAGCGTGGACAGTTAATGGCACGGAGTGGAAAGCAGAGTCTGGCAGCAGAACCAAAACTGCACTCACAGCAGAGCCCTTTAGGGTCAAATACCTTTGCACTACAAGATCGTGTTGCTGACAGTGTTTATTACTAACTATTTATATTTTCAAAGAAATCTTGAGAGATTTTACTCAAAATTCTACTGATCATTCTAATCCAGTGTATGCAGCTACAAAGGAAATATCCACGTGGTATAACTGGTAATTAAAACACAAGTGGCGTACCAATGTGCTTGTCACTACTCTAAGCTGCCAAACTTCTGAAAGAAATGTGTTTGCATACTACATGTAGCTCTTCTGATTTCCAGCCAAGTAGGAGACCCAACGCATAAACACTCCATCTTTAAAATGACACATTTCCTACAGATGTTTGGTCTCGTGGGAACCAAAGAACCAGGATGATCTGTCGGGCTAGAGTTGCGTGACATATCACTTTACAACTCAAATGCAAGTGTGTGCAACATACTGCATCACTTTATGTGATTCCTACACAATAAATATGACTTCATAAACCGTTTTACGTTAGACAACTTAACACCAATTGGCCACAGCTATTATTTTGACCAGGGTCGTTACATGACTCATTTTAGCCATAAGTTAGCTAGCTAAGCGTTTGCCCTCGGCCTGGTGGTTAGCAGGTAGCACCAGTTACAATCACTGGTTGCATTATTTATCGCCACCAGTCTGTGTGCCACTATACAACTAATAAGCATCCGCAACGTTCACAAAAAGTTGCGCTTTACCAATAGATTCACGTACACACAGCTACCTAGCTTGTCAGTTAGCAACCTCGTGATAAAACAGAGGGCCCCGGCACGCGGCACCAGCTCACATTTAAAGCAGACAAACCGGGAAAGCAGAAGTACCTGCGAGCAGAAATAGGAACCTTGAATACCAAGCTTGATACATGTGGGGCACTGAAGTTTGGCGTCCTTACTGCAGCCCTCTGTCTCACACTCCCTTCTAGCCTCGGTGCTCGCCATGCCTGCTCCGTCTGCACAAGGGGTGGAGTCGACGACAAGCAGCCAGCCGGCGCAGCCAGCCAGTGGCAGCTGCATGCACGGCGCATGTCCGCAGCGGGACCGTCACGTTGCATAGTTCGGTCCAATCAACAGAAACTTTCCTAACAGAGAATTGTAAGATGGCGACCGCCGAACCGGTGAGTACTTTCTGTAAAGAACACATGAAAACATATGAGGGTCTTCTCGCTTCGATTACAGGGCGGTGTCAACCGTAAACTTCACGTACAACTCTTAACGTTAGCCCGTAAATGCTTAATGAGCGTTGTTGGGGCCGCACGTGTTGTTTTGAGTACTTCAAATTTGTCTTGGGTGCCACGAGCGAGGCGTAAAACAGGAATGCTTGTGTGTGGAAATCTCCCAACTTTCAAGCTGACGTTACTGCTACCAATCGAGGCAAGCACATTAACTCTCACCTGAAAACCAGTCACTTTTAGTGACGGACATTGCGCAGCGGTGAAGTGAACCTCCAAGAAATATGTGTTTATTAGAGGCACGTGAAATCATACCTTATATCCGAGGAGGACTTTATGTAAATAAAAATCCAGCTGTCAGAATGGTTCGACACATGACCTCTGCGGTCCGCCGTTAGCAGTGCTGTAAGCTGAGGTAAATGATGTAGAAGCACAGAGGGGATTCCTTATTTGTATTAAGTAATTTTATAGTTAATATTAGTTAGTCTTTGTCTCGCATCATAGTGAAATGTGTTCCAGATGTTCGTAATGGATTCCGTAAACATCTGCTTCCGTCACGGAATTTAAGTCGATCTAAGTTTCGTTTTAGGCTATAATATCAGTTTCTTTTTTTAAAAATGGGACTTCTACTAGTGGAAACAAGTAAACAAGAGGAAAAACCAGAACTCAAACATGTTGTTTTCAGTTTTATTGTATACCTTATATTAGTGTT